TTATTATATTCTTTTAAAGGTAATATGTCCTTTTTGTACATGCAGCTTTAGTCTGCTCCAATACACTTTATCTGGGTATTGCTCCTGTTACAACAACCAGTTCTCTCCTATAAATATATTAATGATTTCCATCATCAGCAACATGATAATCCTAGTGTGAACCACTTCATTGCATAGCTAATTAAGTTACTGGAAGCATCAAATATGTGCCAACTGGGAGAATTTCACTAAGTGACAGGCTGTGATCAAGACAAAGCTCTGTCACTGATTGAAGTAGAGATGATGCCACATGGCTGTGCCTTGCAAGAAGTCAAAATCTACAAGCAAAATAAGGGTTTATAGCATTTTTTATGTGCAAAAGTGCAAAAATGGTACCAAACTGATTAATACAATTTCTTCAAAATAGAAAACCTTATAACCTTGTATCAAAATAATATTTCTTTTTTTGACTGAAACCTAATGTTATCATTTCACAGACAGGAATATTTTAAAGGAGGGCAAATACTGCATATGACCTGGGCCACTAGAAGCACATTAGCTATGCCTGTGCAAGCTTATTGAATGCATATAAATATATATCTATAAGTAAATATATTATTACAACATGCAATTCAAGCAAGGCTCAATACAAATGCTAAAAGTACCTGTATGGTACTAACGGCAGACCCAACTGCAGGACAGAATCCTGATGGAGAAACTCCTAGGGTCTAGAGTTACACCTTCCACGTGCAATGATAGAACTTGCAGAAAGTGGACTTTCTATCCTTGAGCACCATAGGCATAAAACTCTTAGGGGCCATGGAGGGCCATGGGAAAAGGCCTTCATCTTGATCCTGAAAAGCAACTGGAGAGAAGCTTCAGGGAAAGAAAGGCATAAATTAGGGGGTACTTATTCTGAAGAGCCACTGGTGCATCTGCAGCATTGGCCAGTGGTTCTTTGGATCTAAACTGTCTAGTTTGATGTGGAATCTGGAGGTAAGTAACATCCACATCTGGTGTTCTCCACCTGTGTCACAGGTCCCAGAACACATCTGGGTGCAGAGATCACCTTGCTGGCTCCAGACAGATAAAATCTACCTGCCAATTTGATCATGCTGGGGATGTACCCATCGGACAGAGCTGAAACGTATAATTCTGCCAAAACAGGATTCATTCTACCTTTTTTGTTGCAGTAAGACTTCTTGTTCCTCCCTGATGACTGTTGACCTTGTCTCTAACGCTGGAGAGGCAGCCAAATCACCTGAAGCTCTAGGATGTTTATCGGGAGACTATATTCCACCGTCAGCCAAGTCCTCTGCACTGATAGCATGCTAGATAAGAATATAGTGGAGACTAGATTCTACCGACAACCAAGTCCTCTGCACTGATAGCAGGCCCAGGACTCCCCTTCAGATATTTTCAGAGCTATTTTTGTGTGGTTCCTGATCATGTGATCACCAGGCCAATCAATTGTGGAAATCACAAGCAAGCTAGAGGTTTGTTTCGAAACAAATGTATCCAGCTTGAAGATGACACTGGGCTTCTCTCCCACTCTGTGCACTTCCAAAGATAAAGAAAGTACTACTTCAGCATTTAAATGTATTTAATTATATAAAAACAATTGTGTGTAAAAAAACAAACTTTTTTTTTCTCAATTTTTCCCAAAAATGTACAAACAACCTATGGACACCCCTATACATGCTCTGTAAGTCTTCTTGTAAAAAATTCAAACTTAAAAGAGAAGTATGGGAATTCGTTTTTTTTTTTTTTTTTTAGACATACTTACTTAGGTGTATGCAGCATTGATCCGATGCTGCATATGTCCCCCCGCTGGTTCTAAGGGTGAGAACTCAGCGTTCACCTGACCACTGGTCGCTGAGTTCTCACAGCCACTTTGAGTAGAGAACAGTGACTGTCAGTCACTGCTCTCTACTCTGCCTCCCATGCTCACTGGAACGCTGGGCTGTGGAGGGGAAGGAAGCAGCTGGCTCAGGCTCTCAGCGGTTCGCTGAGAGGCTGAACCAGATGTTGCTCCAGACCCTGGGGTGGATCCCATGCTGAGTGATGTCAGCCATCAGTGGGCTTCAGTTCACTGTCAGCTGAAAATGGGTCACAGGGGTGCTGAACGAACTGCACTCCTATGAACCACAGGAGAAGTACAGCCAAAAGAGCTTTGGCTGTACTTCTTTAATAAAAATTATTGGAGCAGAAAATTTACAAACAACCTATCCTCCTTTTTATTGATCGAACCAAAAATCTAGAGTTATTCTTTAAAAGTAAAGAATTTGCGTATCCATTTGACTATTAAAGAATATGTAAACCCTTACCTTGTAGAACAACCCATTCCATTAAAAAAAAATTAAAGGGAAAAAATGTATGTATAAATAAACAGTATCAATACCTTTATTCCATTTTTTTAATTTTTTTTATAAGTGATCACATACCATCTGTTCTCATCTGCATAAGGACCTCAGGGAGGGGAAATAGCAGTACACTGACCTTCCCAGTGAATGGCTGTGAGGGGGAGCATGTCAGCACAAGCCTGATTATTGGATTATCCCCCCAGCACAGCCAGAAAAGTGACCACGCTGTGCTCTCATGCCTAGTATGGTCAGTTTGTAATAGGAAAGAAGAGGGACTGGCGGGAACACCAGGAATTTCACACAAAGGAAGCAACATAAAGAACAGGATACTTTTTCATACAAATACATGGTACAGCAGGCACATATAAAGAATATGAAATGTTGGGTTGACTTTTTTTTAAAGATATGGGGTACAGGGAAGTGTCACTAGTATATGCCCCATTTTTAAAGAGCAACTCTAGGCAAATGTGTAAAATTGTGCATGAAATCAGTTATTTGCTTAAAATATGCCCATATGCCAAGATTTTAAATCTCAGCTGGAATTTGAAACCAGCCTTGCAGTGTAAACGTATTTGGAGGAAAAGAAATTAAGTATGGTTATATGAGAGTCTAGAGTGGACACTTGGGCAGAAGAATAATTGCAATGATAAATTATGGCATTCACTTGTTGCCTGGCAAAAGGAAGCAGTAAGATGAGCTGAAGAACAAAGTCAGCAAAACTGCATAAATATGTGGTTATTCTTCCTTCTCTAAATGGCCACAAAAGTATGTGTGTTCCTCTATAAAACCGCACAGTGGATTTGGTGGTTTTTCCAGTGCTGTCCTAATATCACACTTAAACCAGGTAGTATACTGTATTACTCTACACATTATACCACACAAACATTGCTATCAGGAAGTTGTGAATCCTCAATGCCGTTTTCAGGTGACAAGCTAGACACTGGAGTGATACACTGCATATCATACAACATTTTTTTTTCCACAAGCTATCATAATGAATAACTTCAGCATCTGAAACTGACACTTTCCTTTATGGGTCTGTCGAATTCAGAATTGTATGCAGAATCTAAAGAAACAGCAATCTCTCATGGTGTAGAAGATTAGAAGTGTCAAGCTATATCACATTTCTGTTCCACACTCCCAAAATAAAGAAAGAACACACAGCTGTCATGATATATCACAGTATTCTAAAGGACTCAGGTATGATAGAAATTGTTGTTAAAAAACAGATGGAAAACCAGAAAGCTTGAGCTTGTCGACATAATAAAAATGGTGGTATTGCTTGTGTTTATCACCCTGAACACAGCAGAGTCTTCTTAAGCACAAGGTATTTGCATGCCTTTCATTCAAAAAGAATAGATTTATTCCTCATTTCAGGATAGTGAAGGGCTTTTTGGTTCCATTTAGTGTAACGCAACACCTGTTTGATTTACCACCTTGCAAACCAAACAGGCACAGGAGACTATGCTTCACTACATGGTTTAGTTTCACTGCTACTTAAGTTTAAATTATAAAATGTTTTAGTACTCTGGGAGTGATTTGCCCCAATGTGTTTTTTTTATTTAAAAAATCTCATTATTTAAAAATAATATTGGGAATACACTTAAACAAAAGATCTCCTACAGATGGCAGTTCATACATCCAACTATCTGACAATTGTTTGATCAGAACTTTTTGACCATGTTGGTTGAGCATGCATCTATCTGAACAATCACTGGCGTATAAGCACACACAATACCACACACACACTTAAAGCAGAAATCCAGTCAGAATTTTTATTTTCCCGTGCAGTGGGGCTGTGCCCACACTGCATGGGTTAACTGCTCGTTTTGTCCAGGGGCTCAGTGGAAAGCTATAATTGACCCATCCTCTGAAAAACCATGCTCCCCCACATCCAGGGATGGACTTTTCCTGCCATCCTCAAGTCTGCAGCCTGTCTGTGGGTGTGATGACATCAAGAACAGCCTATTCGCAAGACCGCTAGCGTGCAGGGGGGCAGGAGCGATGGGGCCTGGTCTTGCGCTTGGAGGATCGGCGGATTAGGGGTAAGTACAGTGCCTTGAAAAGTATTCAAACTCTTGAAATTTTCCACATTTTGTCATGTTACAACCAAAAACGTAAATGTATTTTACACAAAGTGGCACATAAGTATGAAGTGGAAGGAAAATGATAAATGATTTTCAAAATTTTTTACAAATAAATATCTGAAAAGTGTGGCATGCATTTGTATTCAGGCCCCCCCCGAGTGAATACTTTGTAGAACCACCTGGTGCAATTACAGCTGCAAGTCTTTTGGCCAGTTCACGGACATCATGGAACCTTCATCTTCTGCTATAGTTGTGTGACAGTAAGTGATCCTTAATGCGGCACAGAGAGTTGCTCACCTAATGACATGTGAGCGATGTCCTGTGTGGTGGTACTCTTATCCTGGGCCAAAATCACGATGCACCCTCCAAGGTTAAATGAAACAAAGCATCATTTAACCCAAAACAAGAGCACTATCTACTAGAAGCGGACTTTTACCAGGGGACAGCGCAGGATTGAGGGCAAAAACTGATTTTTTTTTTTTATTGCAAGGTAAATTATTACTTTTATTCGTAATTATAAGTCTTCCTCAAAGAGAATAAAGAACTAGTTTGACTGCTAGAGTCTACTTACATGACTTTGATTCCGGTGATGGTGGTGAAATATTGCAGACCGCAAGGTCACTTTTTGATTTCTTCGGTTTCTTTGCATTTACTTGCCAAGGTTTTTCATAGCTTCTAAACTCTCTTCTAGCTCCTTTGTATTCTGAGAAAAGAAACACATTTAGTTTTATAAAAAAAAATTAGCGATACTCGGACCATGGCAAATTCCCCTAAAGAAGAATTCCGGTATGGTGCTAACAACCATACAATAACCATATGTAGATAGTTGAGTAAAAATGCTAATGTAATTTTTATTAAAAGTGCACGCTTTGTGCAAAACTCTAAAAATCTGTGACATCATTGTTACACTACTCCCTCTTCAATATCTCAGGCTCTTGGAGGAGGTATCTCAGAAATAGCCTGGTCACCTCCAGTTAGTGTTTGTTGCTGCTCACTGAGACTAAAAATCCCACCATATCCTGAGATTTAGAGTCTTGAGTGGACGGGACCATTGGTGTGTGTGCGATGGATCAGTTATGTTTCAGTCACAGGACTCGGACACTGCCCACCCACATCTCTGCACCCTCCTCTACTTACCCTTTCTTATTGTGTGACTACACTGTGCATCTACACCCACAGTATCACAAGTGGATGTGATGTGATTAATTTGCATAACCTGCAGGCATGGAGAGTCCTTATCAAAAGTGGTAGGTTATAGGAGACAGGACAGACTCCTGGCCCAACAATTTAACTATGCAGTACAGTGGGCGGATCAGACCAGGCAGTCCTGAGTCTGCCCACTGAAGCGAGGTGCAACATACTTACATCACCGCTTGTTTTGTAAAGGACTAAAATGGGGAATGTACAAGCCCAGTGACAGGGGGGGGGGGGGGGGGGGGGGGGAGAGGGTATATAAAACAGGGCAATAAAGAATGTTGGATTTCAAAATTTTTTTCATGGAGTTCAGCTTTAACCAAAAGATCCCTAGTAGGGAGCTACTGGTCAAGTTGTATTACCATGGCACATAAACAGAAGTAGTAGAGCTGTCAAGCTATGTTCTTTGAGCCCTGACATGTGCATATAGTATTACACCTTGCCTTATATGACCCACTCAACACCAAGGGGACATATACTTGTGGCGAGAGTTCATTAGAATTTTTGCTGCACACTGGTGGATATAGAGGGAAAAAGGATAACATCACTCAGCAGTGGACACGGATGGAATAGTGAGTTTGAAAATCTCACAGGACTGATTTCACGGGAACTGTAGTTTTGGAGGTATATATGATCAAAACAAAACTGTATATTTGAATCAAAAATTTTTTCTGTAAGTGTTAATGAGCAGTGCCCTCTGGATCCTTCCTGTATTGAATTGTATTGTAACTACTGTCAGCTCTTATGTTGTAAAGCACTGCACAAACTATTGGCACTATATAAATCCAGTATAATAATGTGTTTTGTTTTTATTGGTTGAGGACACAACTGTTTTGTCACTAGATTTGATGTATGGAGAGCATTTAAGACTGAGGGAGTTATTAATGATGGTATTTTGCATCACATGCACACATGTAGGGCAGATTTTCAGGTGTCTGCCACCCGCGTCCAATTGGGCAGACTTCCCTGTACTTAAGACACAAAAGGAAGTGAAAGGAAACCTCGGCAAGTGAAGGAAATCCCCCCTCGGACAGCGGTCACTGGAAGGAGGGTCCCAATTCTACCTCTTTTCCCATTCTAAGCACAAGTCAAAATTTTGGATTTCTATGCTCTTTCAGTCATCACCAGGACAAATAGAGAGGCCGCAATAAAAATTTGTCAAGAGGTTCTAAATCTATCCAAAACCATAAGATGAAAATGGTTGAAAGATAGACTTCAAAGCTGACCTCAGGTTGTGACTGAACAAAGTAGAAGCAGCACACGAATGAGGTCATTCTGCTCTCAACTCTTACCAATGTTAAACAGACAGCATTGTGCAATGTCCAACAGGCTCAGAGTGCGCCAACCTTCCCTCTCTTGGACTGAGTGATGCTGTACGGGAAGTTACAGGGGACCAATACCAACAAAGATTTAAGTACATTTGACAGCTGTGTGTAAAAATGCATTTAATGAGCCCATAAATTAATTAAATTGTGTTTTTCCATATCAGCCTGGAGTTCAGCTTTGGAATTCATTTGTCGGAGAGGACTGAGTATGGGGGTCCAGGAGACATTTGTTCCATGGAAAAGTATTACTAAGATCTGTTGGGTTGGTGTCCTTCAGTGGAGATACTTCATCATTCATACATTGTTCCTAGTGGCAAACAAAAGATTTCCAAGCACACTTACCAGCAAGGCTGAAAAACAACCAAATTGATCCTGTCTAGCTATTTACATTAAAACCAGGGGTTTTTGTTTGCACTCTGTTTATTTGGTTGTTTTGCAGTCTAGCTGGTACGTGTGCTGGGAAATCTTTTTGTTGTTTTGTGATGTGCGTTGCCCTTCCTTGTGCACCTTACTGCAAAGGTTAGTTATAGGTTGGGGTGGTCGTCACTTTTTTGTACAATGGGTTCAATTTGGTGCAGGGACGCACTGGATGCCTTCAGCTGCCATTGTGCCTTGCTGGGCATCACAATCATCCTTGTGTCTGTAAGGAGGGGTGGGCTCCCTCCAGGCCCACATGCCCTTAATGTATCCCCTGCTATAGCTATATATGCTCCAACTTGGGAGACTCTGAAAATTATAGAATTAGGACCGTAGTATACAGAGAAGCCTTGATGTAGGCACTGCAGCTTACACATATAGTTGCAAATGTGTTCAAGCAAAACCCTCTGTTTTTAATATAAATTGTTAGACAGGGTCAATTTTGTTGTTTTGCAGGCTAGCTGGTGTGTGCTGGGAAATCTTTGTTTGTATGTGATGTGCATTGCTTTGCCATGTGCACCTTACTGCAAAGGCTAAGGGGGGTTTCCACTTTTTTTTTTTAAATTGTTCTGAGTGGGACCCACATTTACAAAAACATGCTGAGCATTATACAGCTAGCTGCTCCGTGTTCAGACCTGTGATCAGTGGTAGAATGAAGTCTTTCAGCAACAGCTTCCTTTGCAGATCCTAAATATTCATGTGATAGAATACCTAAAACTGCCGCCATGTCACCAACTAATAAGGTTCCATGCCAATCTTTTCTCAATGCACTTTTAGCCTTCACAATTCAGTATAGCTAGCATGCTACTGCTCCTTATCTATCCATTCAGTATATGGGGCAGGGAGAAAGACAATTATTAACTAAAAACAATTAATCCAGTTATAAAATAACTAGAATAATCAAATATATTTTTACTTCGAACTGCCACAAATACCCTAATCTGTCTTGATATAGGCTATATGCATTCTCCTGTACAGCAGGACACAGGCAGTAGCAGCATCAGCACTCTCAGCCAGTCAGGTTTTTAATGCTTTACATTTACATTGATAACTCTTACAGGGGAAGAAAAAATACAGAAACGGTTTAATCAAGCCCCTTTATTGTCCAGTCAACATGCTGGGAGAGTATAGCTGGCTAAGCAAGCAAAAGTAAAGGAGACATTTTCTCATATAGTCACCGCTCAGAGGGCTGAGAATCCTTCTCATTTTTTTAGAGGGAAGATTTCTGAACTGTGCACACAGGGGATGTTTGCAGCTAGAAGGTGAAAGTAGGGTATACTACTGTATGTAGCACTACTAACAAATGAGCTGCTGAAGTGTTTTGATTCTCTGCACAACTCGCTCATCCAGTACTTACTGACACACCTTGAGGTATTTTAAAGAATTTATTAGGCCAAGAATAGCCTAAAAAAAGAGAAAATTAGCAGGTGTATTTATACAAACAATCAATAAGACAATAATGCTACTCTGAGAGGTATGGTAAATGAAAAAAAAAAACGTTGGCAGGAAACGTTGGGGCCCTTGAAGAAAGCACAAAAATTCCCAGCAGACAACAGATTAACTTGTGCAATGTCTCTTACCAGACCAAGCGTGCTCTCCAGACCTGCTCTGATTCAGTTAAAGTTTTCAAAAAGAGGCATAGGAATTGCTGTGATTGCTCTCTTCCAATCCTGCTGAGAAAGTCTGTGGTAGTGGTAGGAGTGGTTTTCAATACAGTCTCACCAGGCATCCAAATCACACCTCACACCTTCCCAATAGAGGTTTTCAGCCTCTTTGCTTCTCTGAATTCCCACCTGATTGTGGTCAGCTATGGCAGGGATATGTTCATCCAGCAGCAGCTCAGTCTTTTCCCCAGAAACCTGCTTGCTTCAAGACAGTCCTCTCCTCCTCCCTCAGCTGCCTGCCAACCCCTTTCTCCTTGCTCTGCTGCATTAGCCAATCACCTCCAGGATCGAATCAGACCCAGCCAGATGGCTGCCCCCTGCACTAGAGACACTCCATAGACAAGCATTGCAAAGTGGTCTCCTTAAAGATGGCTGCTGCACTTCTGCATTAATGAATATTAGGTTTAAACATAGCCTACACCACAGAAGGATAATACAGCAGTAACAAAGGGAGAAGCTCTGAAGCAGTTATCAGCTAGAGTCCAGGTTACACATATATGGAGCATACAGTTTGGATTCCAAAATTATTATTTGTGCCTGAAGTTTATTAATTGTAGTAAAAAAAAGTGGTATGCCGTTTGCATTGTGACTGGGGTATGTCAATCAAATGGTTGAACTGAATTACAAATCCTTTGACGGGTAAAACCGTTCCCGTGTATGCATTTCAAATATGTTTTAAGCTGTCTGCCTAGAGTTTAGACTTAATGTAAAATAGTCTACTGGCTATGTAAGCAAGTTCAGCTAATTTAATTATAATAAATCAATATGCATAATTAATGCCAGCAATGCAATATTATTAGATGCAAATTTACCATGACTGTGTGTGTGCACTCTCACGCATTTATTTTTTGTATTTAAATATTGAATAACAAAAATAGAATATACTTGTTGTAAAGCCATAGCAGACAATTTTGTTGGCAAAGACATGCTTGTAAAAACACAATCTATTTAGCTATGATTTGTAACACTTCATCTCAATAAGTCCTTATTAGTTTTACATGGGTTTACAATGTTAGTGATTCAGGGTTAGGTCACAAAGTTTGTACTGACTTTAAGTCCCAAAATCATACACCGCTCTACATATCTGTAGGTGACCAGATGTA